TTTTCTTTGGCTGAAGGACTATGTTGAAAGTTCTGTTGGCTGGATGCTATTGTATCTCTTGACCAATTTTCTTGGGCGTATTAGGTGAGGGCTTGTGCTACATCAGTGCTAGTTACTGGTGGAAAAGTTCAAAATTACTGGTGAAGGTACATCCTTTATTTGATTTGTTTTCCCCATGATCTTTTTAGGTTGCAAAGTTACTGGTGGAAAAGATCAGATCTTTCTTCCACCACTTCTCCATAACCCTCTGAAGACTTTTCTATGAGATAAATGGTTTCTGAATCCCCCTCTATGATTAGTTTTTGAAAATCCCATGTCATTGCCAGTGCCAACTCCTGTCAACCTCTGAAGAATAATAGCCCGTAGTTCTGCCAATGGAGTTTTCAAACTTTATTGGGCTTGAGAATGTCACTAAGATTTCCCCCTCATGATAATTGAAGACACCACCTATTCCTGATTCACCAGAAAATTTCTAACCGTCTAAAGGGCATCAGTGCTGAATAGCATTGCTGCTGGGTGAACTAACGTGTCATGCAGGGAGAGCCCTGGTGGCAAGCCCAGGCTGTCGAACATGGACAGCCGAAGCTTCTCTGAAAATTGGGAGAGTACGTCGAACATGGACAGCCCAACTTGGGGAAAGAGTTAGCAAATCAAGCAAAACTTTTGGAGGTTTTACCGTTTTACATCTTTAGATTTAGTACATGGGAAAACTGTTTTATCGATTTCATAAAACAGAAAATGGAAACCTGTGCCCAAGGTACTCTGAAATCTTGAGGAAATTAGAACTGAGAAGCTCTCCATTATGTATTGACGTTTCTTACAAGTTACAACAAACACCCTCTCCAGTCTCCACCAAACAAACACTAAAAAAAGAAGTCAAAAAGTGAATTTGAATCTTTAGTCTATTTTTTACCTTTTTTTCTCAACTGAATATATGAATTTATGAAGGAGAAATTTGTAGAAACGGTGCCTTTTAATCGCCCATTTTGATTTCTTGCAGCAACCATGTTTGTATTGTTCCCCAATAAATGGGGTCCAGCTTACGAGATCACCAAACCAAAAAGATCAGAATGATGTGATGATCTCACTCAACCAAGCATTTTCACTTAAGTCACAATTTAACAAATGGCCCCTCATATGAGAAGTTTTCACTACTGATTTGGTGTCTGATACTGATAGTAGGCTATGACATCTTCTCTTTCCCTTTTCTATTTATGGGATTGGGGATGGGAGCCATGGAGCAGGACCGGGCAGGACCACAGGAGGCTAATGTTCATGCCCAAGATTTGACATGGTATTGATGTTACAACATCCTTCCGGAACCGAAGTTACACTTTTCTGAAACAAGTTACCCTCCTGCCATTTTAGCAATTACATTGTGTAAAATATGTCTTCCTTTATCGAACTTTTATGGCTTAATTTTGAAACTTGAATTATCATTGAGCAAGGTCGGGTTGGGTCGGTTTATTAGTATTTTTTCAACCGATTCGGTTTGGTCGGGTTACCTATAGATTAAACCGAAACTGACCCTCTATTAAGTAAAATCAATCTGGTCGATTTGAATCGGTTTGGATCGGTTTGGGTTTCAACCAACTCCAAGCTTGTATAATGCACATGAACTCAAAATATATTTTGAGTTGATGTATATTTAAAACCAAAATATATATACAAATATATCTGAATATATATTTTTTAATTTCTGAAAATATATATTTCAGAAATACATATCTGATATTCAGAATATATATTTTTTCAGATATATATTTATTATTTAAAACTAAAATATCTATATTTAACAGATATTTTTTTTCAGAACATATATTTTTTCAGATAACTCAGTTCGGTTTAGTTCGATTTCAGTTTTCACACATGAAAACCAAAACCAAACTGAATTATCGGTTTATTTATTTTTGCAACCCAAAACCAAATGATAATGAAAAAAAATTGGCTGACTCGGATTGAATTGGACCAGGTTGGTCGGTTTGGTCGGTTTGGATTTATTTGTGACAGCCCTATTAAGCAAGTAAATGAGTTAGGGATGGGACATTGAACAAAACTTATTTAAAGCATTTCCTATTTGGTCGGGCCATGCCATCCTTTCCATGTCTTTCATGAGAGGGAGAGGATCACATATCAACAGAGAAAGAGCCCACCCATGAAAGAAATTTCTCTATGCAAAACAGTAAAAGCAACACTAGAATCTGTAGATTTTCTAGTTATATCACCAAGCACTCTTGTTTGTACTTTGAAGGATTGTCACTTCATATGTTATCTTTTTTCTTTTTCCTTTTTTTCCCTTCCTTCGATTTCTGTTTCTGTTTTGTTTTTGCTTTTCTGGAATGCCACTAAACATGGGAGTTCGCTTAATTATTAAAACAGAATTGCCTTAGTTCCTTATTTGGATACTCCCTAGGCCCTAGGAGAGTTTATCACTATGAGGGGGAAAAAATGTAGACCTCCTACTTCATACTGTGGATACTGAAGACTAGATGGTAGTAATGACGGTGGCCACCACATGAATAGTGAAGACCCTCCAAAAGAACAAACAAAAGTGAGGAAGGAATCATGAAAGAGGGACCCTTTGAATGCCTCTTTTTATAACCCCAATACTCACACCTCAAAAGCTTACACTGTGATCAGTCCTTTTTATAAAGCAAAGAACAGGAAACCCACAAGATCACCAAGAAAAAGAACAGAAAATGGAGATGTGTGAAAGCTGGGCTGAGTAAAATATTGAACTAATCATTGCAATCACTATTGACCAGATGACACTAGCATTAAAATATAATGTTCCCATCAACTTTCATGGTTTCAGAATCATATATTCCAAGTTGTCAAATTCTTCGTCATCGTCATCATAATTCATAAATAAAAAGTAGTTACTCATGATCCATATCATCATCAATCCATTAACTTGCCACGTCAACCCAACTTTGTTTCTTTGAGTTACATTTGTAAATGCATCATTGGTTTCCCTTTTTCATATGTCAACCAACTGTTACTTTATGAGGGTTTTTCCTTTTTTCCATTTCTTCTCTATACTTTGATGATCCAAGCAAAGTTCAAAATATCTACACGGCGCGTATCGGCCTGTGTCAACGTCCTCGTGTTTGTTGCAGAAATCTGATGGGTAGGAGTCTGAGTTGGCTGTGGTCCTTCCTGCCTTGGTTGCTAAGCCTGTGGCTCACTGAAATAGACCTCTCTTTTTTATAGTTGGGCTGTGAATGTGCCAGTAGAATTATCATATCTCTATGGTAGAGTAAGAGTTGTTGACAAAGAGACAATACTGAGCCATTTGAAGCATTAAATCATGTCCACGTGCAACCAGTCCCAACATTACCATCTGAGGCCACCAAGAATTTGAATACAACAAGTCTTAGCTTCACCGGCCCAAGCCCTTAAATCATAGAATGACAGGACCAAAATCTCCATAACTTCCTTCTGCATTTGCAGAAAAACCCTGTTAATGCTTTGCCCATTTAAAGGTCTGTGACAGTCTGTGGCCGCACGCTAGCACTGTTCATGAAGGAAAAGATAGCTTTATTGGCCAGACCCAGACGGGGACGGGGGGGGGGGGGTTGGAGCCTTTGAGGGAAACAAGCTGGCGTGGGACTTGAGCATGAGAGACAGAGACGACAGAGAGAGAGAGATTAGATGAGAAGAGGGGGAAGAAAAGAGAGATTGCAGCTGCAACCTTGACCCAATTGAATTGGCAAAGCCACCCCTAACAAACAAATGACCCACTGAAGCTGTGAAGATCCCATGAATATAGCCAGGTCAGAGTGAATAGCAGTCCCAGCTTAAGGCATGCCCTTGCCTCTAAGGGTGTCAATGGACCGGTTTTGGATTGGACCCCATCCAGCACAAAATCAATTTAGATGGATTAGATGGACTAATAAGACATATTGGATTGAACCAATTTGGTCCAAAATATTTATTAGATTGGATTGGATCTGATCCATCCGTAACAAATTTATATTGGATTGGATTGGATTAAGCCAATATCTGGTCCATTGATATAAGATAAGAATATATTGAAATCAATCTAAATCAAAATGAATTTGAACAGATTAAATGGTCCAAACATTAAATTAAATCGATCTAAATTAATCCAAAACATTTATTAGATTGGATTAGACCTGATCCATATATAATAGACTCACAATGGACTGGATCGAATTAGACCAAATCCAGTCCAATTAACACCCCGACTTGCTTCATTGGTGTGACTCTACATCATTTATTGCTTACATAAACAAACATCTCACTCCCTGTTTGATAATTGATGCCCCCCATGTGCCTTATCAACTCAACTGACAACTAAATTTTGCAAGCGTGTGGGTTGGGGGTCTTGGGTGGTCCTCACTCCTCACTCTCTGTTCTTCTGCCCTTCTGGGGGATGGACTAGTCAAACTCACCTAGTTGGATCCTTATTACCTTGTCCTGTCTTCTCTCTCTCTCTCAGATAATTACTCCGTGCGTGCGTCTTCCCGAAGGACCCCAACCCACTTTTGATTCCATTTGTTGGAATTTAGTACACCCTCTCTCTCTCTCTACAAGCATGGAGAGCATGTGTTTGTTCCTCACAAGTCATAATTCATAACTGGTCCCAATTTTTGTGATTTAAAAAGTAGGATAAATTACAATGACCTCTTGTAATGTGGGATTAGTGACAAAGATTCCTTATACTTTAATTTGTAACAAAACCCGTTGAATTTTTACATTGTGATAAAATACCCCCTCAGTTGTTAAGTTAAATGACCAAAAGCTTAAATTATCAAAATACCCCACTAAATTTTTTCTTGCCATTTTTTCTGAATCCAAAAATACCTCCATTACTTCTCAGCAAAAAAAATACTTCAGTCATCTCACTGGTGGTCATTGCCGAAATGCAACTCTAATGGAATCTGAGTTCTTGAATTCTTTGATGGGTGTTCTGTCAAAGAAAAGATTATGTGAAGACGTGCATGCTCTGCAAATTCTTCAAGCCTCCAATGGAGGGTGAAATTTCCCCACCCAGATTCAAATTGGATGGATTCTTGCTCAAATAAGAAAGCAGGAAAAGAAAAGGTTGAGAGAGAGAGAGAGAGGACGAAGTTGCCTCGATTGGGTCATCGTCTGGTGGGGGATTGGAGTCAGGAGGTGGCTATTAGAGATGAAGATAGATACTAGAATGGGTGGTGGGTTTTGGAACGATGAGGATAAAGCCGCGGTTGGGGCAGTTGTTGGTGCTCGGGCTTTGGAAGGTCTGATGACGCGCGGCTGTTGGGATGGGAACGGCGGGGATTTGCAAAACAAATTCAGGCACAGAGGCAAGCATAGACAAATGAATTGACATTCGAGCCCTTCATGATGAGGTTATTGTAAGGGTAAGCTGCCCTTTGGATGTTCATCCTGTATCAAGAGTCATCCACGCATTCAAAGAAGCACGGATCACTGTGGTGGAACTGGAATCAAAGATCTCTGCTAGAAATGATACCGTCTTCCACACATTTGTGGTCAAATCTGAAGGATCTTAGCAGCTTACAAGGAGAAGTTGATTGCTACATTTTCTCATGAATCGAGCACCTTATAACCATTCTTCTTGAATCGAACACTACCTAAACTGGTGTGTTAGAGATATTCCTACCTTTTATGCTGCGGCCGCTTCATTCTGAAGGAGCACATATACAAGAAGTGGAGCTGAGATTGGACGTTTTGTTACCTTGCTTCATAATCTTGTAGAAACACAACAAACAAGCGGAACCACACAAGAAAAAGCAAAGAGAAGCAAATACACTATAACTAGAAATAACTATGCATATTACTAATGCAAAACATCACACACGTGCACTATTTTAACTTACAAATTACACTCACTAATCTTACTTGACCAAGAGACTACTCTACACCACCCCCTGACTATTTTAACTTTGAATTACAACACATTTGTAGGGGGTGAACCCCCTATTTATACATGAGCTAACCGCCTATTAGAGGCGATTCTTAACATTATGGAGTTTAATGGACCACGTGGGTCCTTTATTAACCAAGTGTTAAGTCGGTTAAAGAAGTTGGTTGCTGACTTCTTGAATCCTTCTTCTGTCCTCAAGGCATGTGCACCTCTTGCTCTTCTCCAATTTACCATTCCAGGCGGCAAGCATGAAATGCACCATGCAAGCCCCTTGCAGAAGGCAAATGCAGTGCAGGACTTCCAGCTAAAGATTGATTGGATAGATGGAAAAGTTTTCAACTTACACTCATCAATGGAAAAGTTTTCTTTGCTTTCTTTTCCGATGGCCTTAGTGCTATAGAATAGGGTAGTTTGGACATTTAGAAAACTTTAAAAAGTTAGATAAAAATCTTTTTTTTAAGTTAACTGATGAAATACTAACGGAAGAAATTTTTTGTGTAACGGCCAAAGTTCAAAAGGTTTGTTGCAAATTATAGGGTATTTGTCACTAATCCCATAGCACAGGGAGTTTTTATAATTTATCTTAAAAAAATAAAAGCTCTTTTAACAGAAGACGTTCCCTCAACCTTCATCCACATTGGAAGGAGGGAGCTTTCTCATTTCTGAATCACACCTTCCCTTCAACAGGGAGTCCAGCTCCGGGACCAGCACTCTTCCACCTTCTTCACCAACACTACTTTCCTTCTTCGGTCTTTTGTCTTTTTTTTTTTTTAATTTTTTCTATTCCTATGACACTCTCACTTGTCTTGGAACTAACTGCCTGTCGGCAAGCTAGGAGGAGACACTATAGACTACCACCCAATGGCCCACCAGGCCCATTGCCCACAGCCCACAGTACCAGAGAACCAGATTTTACTTTGAACGCACCAACGAACGTCGCCAGAAATGGGGGCCCATGACGCAATTAGTGAGTCCAGTCTGTAATCTGCACTTCACGAATGAATCCCTACCCTCCGTTCATGTCACTGCGTAAGCGTAACTCGGATATTGATATGATATTCCCAGACTTGTACCAACAGTCCAACACCAAGTGGGCCTTCACGTTTCACAGTATTGAGTATGGAGTATTGACCAATGATGACTCTTCTTATTATTTTATATATAATTTAGATAAAAAACAATAGGATCACGTAGTAGTAGGCCACAATGACCACGTTAATGATTGATTCTCCAGGGAGGGCATCCAGGGGACCCACAAATCTCTCCTCCATCTACTTAACACGTGGCAACCTTCAACAGTAACGAAGATCGCCCCTCAAGACTATCACTATCGAATCCCTACGGGCACACCAACAAGAAGCCGAACCTACCGCGGTATCTAATCTCGGGATAAATTACGCTCTTGTCGTTTTCTGCACTGCGGACTCTGATTGACCACGCACGCGCAAGTTGCAACTTGGTTTTATACATGGAGAAGAGAGACCAAATTGCCCTTCATCTGTGGCAACAATGCCTAGACACCCAAGGGCATTTCAGACATTTGGGACATAAATGGCTCCACCGTTGGATGGTCTAACTCCAGATCATCGGACGGTCAAAAAGCAAGGGAGCACGTAAGAGAAGTCAGGAGAATGGTGTGAAAGCATAGCATAACGGTTATGTTGTTGCAGCAAAAGCAAAAGCGGATCATAAAGGAGGAGAGAGAGAGGATTCTGAAAATGACAAAAATAGGAGTTGAATGAATCAAGGATGTATTTGTTATGATATTTATGTCGTACCATAATATAGCGTGTAAATTCAGTGGTAGCCGTAGAGGTAGATTCCAATCAGATGCTGGTACATTTTTTTTTTGTATTTGGGAAATGGGATGCTATTTGATCTGATGAGCCCACCGGTGAAGCCATTGGTGTGGTCTACCTTGCAGACCGGATTGCCCATCGATCGAACCACTGACTGAACCGGAAAAGTGATGTGTGTGGACTGGAGTACAAATAAAAAATATGTATGGTGCAAATACACACAATACATATTTGTATTTGTACTGCTTCCAAACTAAACCTTATCCATACATTCAAACCACGAGATTTATTCCTTCCTTGATGTGTAGTGTAAAGAGAGGTATAGAATTGGGCCCCACTTAAAGGTGTAAATTGGGCTTGCTGCCCGTGGCCCGGCATGCCTCAGGCTAAATTTGGGCCAGTCCGGCACAGCATGGCATATAAATCGTGTTAAATCCGGTACGATGGTTCGGACCATGTTAGGCTTAGGCTTAGGGTTTTAATTTTTTGAAAGTTTTTTACAAAAATATCCTTTCAACGTTGATAAAAATCATTTTTTAGATTTTTTTTTATAAGAAATACCCCCACTTAAACCAGAGACTTCGGTGGGGACACGAGGTACTGAATGGTTGTGGGCCCCCACCAAAGCGTCCCTCTCTCGGCGCGTTAATACCCAAAGCCCAAGTCCACTCCCACCCCACACTTTCACTCACTCACTAATCAGTAAGTAGTAACACATGACTTTGAAAAAAAAAAGTACCCAACTGAAAAAGAGAAAAAAAAAAAAAAAAAAGAGGGGAGAGAAAATAAACAAAGCAAAAGCGAGAGTTCCAGGCTTCCAGCATCACTGTTACAGCTCTCTTTGCTTTGGTCTACTTACTTCTATCTCTCTCTCAAAAAAATAAAAGTTACAGAGAAGAAGGAGAAGAAGTAGCTTGGTTTCTTTCATGCCCTAGCCGTAGCTGTAGAGACTAGTAGCCCTAGATTCAATACTTCCCTTCAAGCAAGGACTAAGGAGAAGGACCTCCGAAGGTTCATAGTTTACTGGTGCGTTATATTCTGATTCTGTTCTTCTTGCCGTGAAATCTCTCTCTCTTTTTCTTTTGCTATTTTCTCTTGCATTCCTGTTTCCTATTGATCTCACCTTTCGAGTTTTACAATGTCGAATTTCTTCGAGCTATATGGTTATTTTATTCTATTTTAACTTTTATGAGGTTTTGCCGTGCCTTTGAAGGATCCGGTTGTGCAATATGCTTTAATGGGAAACCGATTCTGTAGAGGGAATTTCGCGTTTTTTCTTTTCTCAGCTTGTTTGTTCTTCCTTCTTTGTTCAGTTTCACTTATTTTACTTGATTATGAACTGATATAAGTGGTTGGGTGGGGGTTGCTGGATGGTTTCTCTTTGACTTCCCAAGGTTTATACAAATAATTGCTAATTAGGACTTCTTGCTAAGTGATTTTGGAACTGGAGGTTCTCCAGAGGTCAGTGACAAATTGGATTTCCTATGTTGTTCATTGCTTTAGAATATATGTATGGTTTTATTTAATTTGCGTATATATGTTTACTCTGCGTTTGGAGAACATGCTTGTGTTACTAGTGTCTGGACTCGCATGCATGCAGTTCTATTTTCGTTTGATCTGAACTTGTATATTGGTTGGATCTTTCTTTTCTTTATTTCCATAATTACTCAATCGAATGAAAACCCATCTTTTTTGTCCTTGATGGATTTTTTTTTTTTCATTTTGTAGGTATATTTATCATAAAAAGATTGGTTTTGCTTTCTCAGACATCAGGAAGTGATTACATTGCCCTGGAAATTATGAAATTTTAAGACTAGAGCTACAAATGCTGATACAATACTCACTACTTCCGGCGAAGCCTATCTTGACTGTTCTAGTAGGCTGGGAGAAGGAAGGAAAGGATTTCACCTTGCAATATTGACTTAAGCCAACGTCCATTTGTAAATCCATTAAACTGAGAGAGCTCACGTAATGATATATAATCATCTGAAATGGAAAGGATTCCCGAGTCAAAGGCACTTCCTGGGCAACTGCCTGTAGCAAGTCAGGTGACAAATGTACGTGCAAATCTGGTACGAGAGGAAGAGGGTCCATCCAGCGCAAGAGGATCTCGCAGTTCAGACTCACCTGCTTTGGTAAAAGCATGGAAAGGAAAAAGCTCTTCCCAGGAAGCGGCGGACCTTATGCCCGACGTTGTATCACTTAAGGGAAGTGGAGATTCCTATGAAGAAGTTGGCTCTACTTCCTTCTCTGGGGCTAGTCATCCCCCCGAACCTGTTGATACAGATCTTATGAGAACGGTCTATGTGCCAATAGGGCAGAACAAATCTGAACCTGGGTGCTTGGTGAAAAGCTTGTCTATGAAGGGTCCTTTTATAGAGGATCTTTCAATCCGGGTTCCTATGAAGCCAACTACAACTGTTCTTTCAGCTGCAGAAAGCCTGGTTGAAGAACCAAATGACCTGGGTGCATCATCATCATCTCCATTTTCAGTTGCCCGTGCATCACAAACTACAGAAACCACACATCTACCACCTGAGTCTGATGAGAAGGAATGTGTTTGGGATGCATCTTTGCCTCCTAGTGGTAATGTAAGTCCACATAGTAGTATTGACAGTACAGGTGTTGTCACTGCTATGAGCATTGTCAATAGCTGCACCAGTACATACAGGAGTGATGGGATTACTAGTGATGGTATGCTTAGTGTAGAAAGAAACTGTGAAAGTGCAAAGGGGAGTGTTAGAGGAGACTCACTTGAGAGTGCAAAAACTAGTGTTAGCAGAGCAAGTGATAGCAGTGGTCTTAGTGATGACAGTAATTGGAGTAACATTACCGGGAGTGCTAATAAGCCTCACAAAGGAAATGATCCTAGATGGAAAGCTATTCTTGCTGTCCGGGCACGGGATGGGATTTTGGGTATGAGCCATTTTAGGTTGCTCAAAAGACTTGGTTGTGGAGATATTGGCATGGTTTATCTCTCAGAGTTGAGTGGGACAAGGTGTTACTTTGCAATGAAAGTAATGGACAAGGCATCTCTTGCAAGCAGGAAGAAGTTGACCAGGGCTCAGACAGAAAGAGAAATTCTTCAGCTCCTTGACCATCCATTTCTACCTACTTTGTACACACACTTTGAGACAGACAGGTTCTCATGTTTGGTCATGGAATACTGTCCTGGAGGTGATTTGCACACTCTAAGGCAGCGACAACCTGGGAAACACTTCTCCGAGTATGCTGCACGGTATGGTTTATTTTCTCTGCTGCCCTGAGCATTGATTTGGTTTGTGTCCTTTTTTAATCATCAGGGCTTTGTCTCAAGCAACTAATTGATATGGTTGTTTATTTTTCTCTGCATTATTGTGCACCGTAACCACTTATGAGTGCCTTCTATTTTTGTTTCTTTGCTTCTGTTCCCATTGTTCTTTTTCTTCTCTAGTTGAGATATCCATGTGTCTTTGTTCTACTTTTTTATCTGAAAAAAAAATTGTCCACCTGCCATTGCTCAGTTCTGTAAGATTCTAAATTAGGGATTTTCTATAAAATTAGTCTTTTCATCTAAATGCCTTCATCTCTTCAGATATATTTGTTTCAAGATAATATTTTTATTGATATTGCTTAGTTTCGATTTAAAAGTTATGTCCTATATCGCTCATTTACTATAAGTTTTTATGGTTCCTTTTTTTGTTGTTTCAGAGTTAGAAAAGTTGGTGTTTTTATTTATTTTAGTTAGGATCATTCCTCCCTATTTGCTCTTTCCGCAAATGGCAAGTGTCTGCAAGTAGCCGGCTCACATATTACATGTCATAAAATAATTGTTGTCATGGAGGGGACAATCCTTGTTTCCTTGAGGCCATCATTCTCTTAGAAACCCAAAATGTTGCTGAAAAGATGGGTCAATATTTCATTTTATCCATTAAGACTGTCTAGGGTACTTTATCTCTAAGACTCTAACCTGATTCTCTTGATATCCAAGGTTACCAACTTTTTTGAAACAAAAAGAAAAGCAGCTAAAACAAAGAGGGGCATGGGATGCCTCATTAACCATTTCTAAATTTGTTAAGGCTGGATACACAAGCACACATGCACTATAGTGCACCAGTAGTTTAGTGTAAGTGCTCAAAATCAGATTTGCATTAGAATGCATTCTATGTATTGGTTTGCCTAGAATGCTATAGATTTTGTTATTTTAGAATTTTGCAGTTGGTATTATTAGAAAATTTCATGTAGACCAGAAATTATGTTTTGGCTGTTTGTATTGCTATGCCATTATGTTCAGCTTGTATATCCGTGCTACTCTATAATTGGGACATTGGATGTGGTTTATAGTTATTCTCATAAATAGAGCATTTATTCATCGTTTCTAATCAAAGAGAAAGAAATGTAGACTAGAAATTATTATAGGAGACAAAATGCAAATAGTGAGCTGGATCTTACTGAGTAACAACTTGTGTGAAGCTAATTCAATCTTCCGGAGTATGCCTTCCTGGTTTATACACTTGACTATTTGGAGGCTTTATTTAGAGATCTTAGGCATTTTGTTTTGGAATCTGTTTCAGCTGAGTGGCACTTGAAGGTTCTTGATTTAGAACTATTTTTTTCTGGTTTAATTCTCCTAGGGATGTTCCTCACTCTATTGGGCCTTACAATCAATGGCAGCAGTTTCCATTGGATCTAATATTATGGGCTGTGGTTCCATGTGTCATCTGTTGGTCTATTGGGAAGAAAATAAACTGCATTGTCTAATAATGGAAAAGAGAACAACATTTCCGGTCTGTGTGCAGATGCTAGTAGCCTCCTTTTAGATCTATTGTTTTGTATGTAGAAGGTGTTACACTGTAAATCCTTGCAAGCCATATCTTTCCTTTGAGAATATTTATATACTTTGTATATATAATAAAAATTTTCAAGTACTTGTCAAAAAGATAATATCTATTTTGCGAGCATGTTGTGAAGTCTTAACTTCTCAAGAACCTCCTCTAGATAATTGTTTAGCTTGGAGATCCTTCTTGGCTCTTCACCTTGAAACTCCTTGATTTTCTTTTTTCTTTTCTTTTTGGAATTGATTCTGCATGTAGTTAGCTCAACCTTTGCAGCAAGAAGTATAGAAGCTTTTCATGACTTCATATACTCTCTATTATTTCTACTGGAGTACTAATTTGATTAGGGGGGAATAGGTCCTTGAGAAGAGAATCATGATGAAATTGTCTCATTAGTATGCTGTACATTCTCACCTTTCACTCGAAAAGGACAAAGAAAAAGAAGTTAGAAAAAAAAAAGCATACTTCTATGGCTTACGTATAAGATTATTCTCAACATGTGGTCTAATTGTTAGGGCCAAGAAGATCAAAATGCATGCAGCAAAGTCCCAAGACTATCCTTGGATGCTAAGTTTGATAAGCAATTTGTAGAGGTTATTTGAGTGGTTATTCTTTTACATGATGTTATATTTGATGAANATTTGAGTGGTTATTCTTTTACATGATGTTATATTTGATGAAGAAATGTAGCTGACCATTTAAATTGATGGTATCTTGGATTGTTGAGTTGCAGAAACTGATTCTTTATGTAGTGTTTTTCTGGTGGCTCTTTGTTGTTCCAAACAGAAAAATAGAATTGATCTGATTTCTTGTATATGTTAAAGGAATCAAATATAGGATAGTTGACAAGAGAGGAGACATGGTATCTATGGTGTCCATGGTATCCATCTTCGGATATGAGAGAAGGTCTAATATTTCCTTTGTTAGAGTGGTTCTGTTTTACTAAAGGCCAAAGCCTTCTAAGGTTCGTAGCTAATGACAAAATAGTCCAGGTTGTAGAGCATATAATTCTATATGGAGGTCTAATGCCTCCTTTGTTAGAAGAGCAAGGTTCTGTTTTACTACTCAAGGCTAAAGCCTTCTAAGGTTCGTAGATAATGACAAAATAGTCCAGGTTGTAGAGCATATAATTTCTATATGGAGGTCTAATGCCTCCTTTGTTAGAATAGCGGCTTCTGTTTAGTGGAGGCCGACCCCCCCCGTCCTTCATGTTGTATGTGAGTTTAACATATGTCTGAAAAGATGAAACATTAGCACAAATAAACAAGTATATTTTGTGACTTTAGAGATACATATTCCAGCTCAAAGCAAAACTAGGGGAAAATTAGAGGTGTAGACCTAGGTCTTGAGATAAGTTGTATGTGCCAGAGGCATGTCTATCTAATTTTTTATTCTAAGTGGGCCTTGGATAGATTTGGATGATCATGAACCAAAGATCACTGTTGCTGGAGATGGAGATAGTTGAAGGTTTCAGTGAGAAAAAGAAGCCAATTAAAGTTCTCTTTTCTGTTAAACCTACTCTTCAAGCTCCCTTACACCATCATACTAAATATATTTCCAACTGTATTATCTTTACACTGCTGTCCACTCATTTTCTCAGCTACTAAGGATGTTTATTGTAATTAAGATAATTACTGGAAGTTAAGATAATTGAAGTGCAGGAAATCTGCAGCACAGCCCCAAGCTACCAATGCTGCACTTTGCCATTGGCATCTACCCTGGTAAGAAGGTCAACCTCTACCACAATCTGCAAAAAGAAGATGAACTGCAGCTAAGAAAACCTACTAGTAATGTAAGTCCCAGAATACATGAGAGGATGTACAGAAAGGGGGGGGGCTATATAGCAAAAATAAGGCCCACTCAAATCTCAGGTTAGCTAATTGCATCATACAAAGAAATCCTCTCTGACCCAGATTTAGCAGTATCAGCCCTTTGGTTTAACTCTGTAGATACATCCAAGAATATCAGAAATTTTGCCAATTCCAAGGAGTAAATGAGCTAATCTCCAGGGACCAGTCCCAGGCTTGCTGGCCCAGATTTAATTTATAAATTTATCATTGCCCAATCTGCAATTAAATTAACATTATATGATTTCTGGCCTTCAATATAGTGGAATGGCAAAATAGAATTTGTATAGCTGAACCTTTGTGCTAAGGCTTTGTTCAGTTGAGTTTTATCTGAATTTCAAGTAATTATGTATGATAAGTTAGTTTGCCCTACCTCAAACTCATGTTCTTTTTCTTTCTTGAGCAGGTTTTATGCTGCAGAAGTGTTGTTGGCCCTTGAGTATCTCCACATGCTTGGAGTTGTCTACAGGGACTTGAAACCAGAAAATGTTCTTGTCCGTGATGATGGCCACATAATGCTCTCAGATTTTGACCTCTCTTTAAGGTGTGCAGTTTCACCTACCCTGATAAAGACATCCTCATTTGATTCTGATCCTTCCAAAAGGACAACTGGGAGTGCATTCTGTGTCCAGCCTGCCTGTATTGAACCAGCTTCTGTATGCATCCAGCCTGCATGCTTTATCCCGCGGATCTTTCCTCAGAAGAACAAGAAAAAAACCCGAAAACCTCGGGCAGAGCCTGGGCAGCCTGCGAGCACCCTTCCTGAACTTGTAGCTGAACCAACAGCAGCACGGTCCATGTCCTTTGTTGGAACCCACGAATACCTGGCTCCAGAAATAATCAAGGGAGAAGGCCATGGCAGTGCAGTGGATTGGTGGACATTTGGTATCTTCTTGCATGAACTCCTATATGGAAAGACCCCATTCAAAGGATCAGGCAACCGCGCAACACTTTTCAATGTGGTTGGACAGCAGCTGAGATTCCCAGACTCACCGGCAACAAGTTACTCGAGTAGGGATCTTATCCGGGGCTTACTGGTGAAGGAACCCCAGCATCGACTTGGGGTGAAGAGGGGAGCAACTGAGATCAAGCAGCACCCCTTCTTTGAAGGTGTAAATTGGGCACTAATACGGTGTAGTACACCACCTGAGGTGCCAAGACCAGTGGAGACCGAGTTACCAGGGAAGTTTGGGGTAGTTGATACAGTTGGGGTGGGAAGCAACAGTAAGAGAATGGTAGGGGCAGACATGAAGTCCGGAGGCAAGTATTTGGACTTTGAGTTCTTCTAGTTTGGATTACAGGATTCTATATCTGTTGTATTACTGTGCCTGGTTAATCATCCTATGAGAACTTGCTTAATGCATTTGTGCTCAAGGCCTCCTAGTTTACACTGGAATTATAATTCATAAGCACGCATTTTTAGTTCTAGGTATACACCTGGAAAAGCTTCTAATCAATCATTTGTTATCATTTATTCGACCTCACTTATGGAGATATCTTACAAGGGTCTGAAGAACATGTTAAGAATGCAATGTCATGGCCTTTTCTTTGATGATTCCCAGTTGCTCATGTACCAGTTGGGCAATAGCCTGCAAAACTGCTTGAATTTCTATGATGACATCCTATACATAAAGTTGGTATTGTGTATTGTATTGGTAAGCCTGGAAATGGATATGCATCACAAATTTAATGAGCATAAAAAGAAAGAAACTAAATTTAAGGTTGAAATAACCATAAATAAGGTATAAATACATAAAAATATATATGCTTTTTTTAATGAGCATAAAAAGATATACTTAGTTATCTATATGAAAAATGCATTATCATGATCACATCATTTGGGACATGTGGGTATCATACAATGTCTTTATTAATAATGCATCAACCAAAAGTCCAGCAGATGTACTATTTAGCATTTTACAAATTACATGTATAAGGGCTCCCATATCTTATTATTTAAGTTAATTTATTAATTAATTATTACAGAAATATATAATTAACCTAAAAGATATATTAGATCCATAAGAAGAAAATAGAAGATCAATAAAATCCAAGAGGCAGACAAAAATCATAAGCAACTATTAGATTTTAATTACTAAAAAATTATTCTATATATTATTATTTTTACCCTTTTATATTGCCAAAAGAATAAGTCAACTAGGTCTTAAATTCTTAATATGATAGATAATGATGAGTATATGGCTTCCTAAAAATTATTAATGTAAATTAAGTAAATTTTGTAAATAATAATTTTATTTATATAAACAATATATATGCTGCTATGTATCATAAATTATATTGTTAATTAATTAGTTTTAGAAGTATATAGTCTTAATGTAAAAAAGTATATCAAATCCATTATAATTTCAGAGATACATATCATATACAATTCATAGATTTTAATTTCTGCTTTTATTATTTTTACATTTGCGACATAAATATGGAACAATAGATTTGCTAGATCATTCATATATCATTTATTCCGTTAATATTTATAAATTACTATTTAATGATCAATTTTTTTTTTAATTTTCTTTTGAACACTCATATATAACACGATTTGTATGAGTTAAATGTGGCCCTCAAGTTTATCAAATACCATCCTTATTTTATCCATTCAATGGTGGACAAGGATAATTGGGTTTGAATCTTACCAATTGCACTTGCACATGGTTTTCTAAAATCTGTATCTAACTGCAATTAATGGCGTCAATTAAGGACATTAATGATACAAAATACAATTTGAATTTCAAAAGGCATGATTAAGAGAGAGATAGAGAGAGAGAGAATTAGTGAAGAATTTGGAAAGCCTGATTAATGGGCGAGAATGGTGGAAAGCAAATTAATATGGGGCATTAAACCTAGAACTCAAATTTCATAATAGCATGGTCTGTATTAATTCACTTCAGTGTTCAGTCGATGAAGGCCAATCCACCCGTTTTCACGTTCCCCTTGCCTTGGAAACCGATATGATATACCTGATATTTTAGCCTGGGTGACTCACCGGGTCACTCATTTTTTCAGCTTACGTGTGACTCGTATCCAAGTCTGAACTCTGAACTTTTCCATCAATGCTTCCAAGGCAAAGAATGAAGGCCCAATGTTTTTAAAACTGACCCATAAAAGGAACAACCTTTCTATCTGGCGGTGGGTCAATTTGAGTTTAGGGTGCAAGATGAGCTGAGCTAGGTCAATCCAATCCGAGGTTTTGAACCTCCAATCTTAACCTTAACCCAACCCAACCTAGTTAACCTTGATCCTATTTCAGACTGAAGGTTTTAGTTGACTCAGTTGGTAAGGTCTTTAGCTTTAATAGATTGTAGTGGAGATTTGGGATTGAATCCCACCTTCATGAGAGCTGGGGATTGGTAAGGTGTTAGCTGACTCAGTCGGTAAAAAAAAAGCCTAGCTTGAAGTTGACTTTGGATTGGATTGGGCTCGGGTTGGACCCAGCCCAACCTTTCCCATTCCTCTTAAAATATCATACAATCTTTTAAATTTTCTTGGTCTTTGACTAAGAGACCTAAGCTCAACTTTCTTCACCGTATATTGATCATATTTTTTATTGGTATTTGTCTATTTGATTCTTTTCAGTGCATAAGTGAAATATATATATAATGTTTCAAATGATGAATTTGTCATGATTTTTTATTGAAAATCTAAAATCATGAAATCAAAACTAATAAATGATAAAATTATGGAATGAAATTTGATGATGCATGATCTAGTGCTCCCTACTAGCAGACAGTTTAGACACCAAACTGAGTAGGTCATCTAGTCGAATTGCAAAAAAGTGATTATTAGAGTGTCCGGGTTGTTTTACCCAGGGTGGGCATTCTGATGCCTAAGTCAATGAAGAACTTTGAGAGAGCTAAAAGCGAGAGAATTAGAAAGTTAGTGAACTATGAGAGCTAAATCGCGTGTATCGTGTGAAGTTGAAGGTGAGGCCTTTATATAGGCGAGTTGTTGTGAGCCTCACAAAGTGCGTCCTGGATCCCCGACCGTCTGGTTCTGAGGTGGTTTCTGTTGAACCCGGGATGCATCGTTAAATACCCGGGATACCGATTTAATAATTTATATTTTTCCAATCCTCAAAACTAAATAAAGAACGTAGTTTAGTGGTGAGGAAGGTGTCGAATCCTCAAGGAAGCAAGGTTATATTATTTTGTTCCAGACAAATAAGAAAAAGAAAACAAATTTGGGATTTGCAGAAAATAAGAAAATAAAATTTATTAAAGCTGAAATTAAATATTCAAAATTGAAAAAGACAAGAAATAAAATTCAAAAATTAAATACAACTGAAATTAACAAGAAAATAAATAAAAATATGTTGAAATTCAAATCCAGTGGCGGTAGCTTTCCGGAAAGACAAACTGCAAGTCGTTCCTCCTTCGTTTGAACCCCTCGAAACACCTTAGCCATGAACTGGGCGAATTCAGATCTACAAAAGACAAAGAAAAACAAAAATTAAATCAAACCAAAATCAAAAATTGCAAAAATTAAATTGCTCGAAAAACTAAATAACAAAAAGAAATAAAATAAAACAAAATAAAAATGGTGGATCAGTTCCAGTGGTGGCAGTTGCAAGTTGGACGAACTGCTTGTAGGAACCCCTCCTAACAAGAACTGGGTGTCCTTCTTCCTGTAACCCTTGAACCCCTCTAGAAGCCTTGGCCTTGTGAACTGGGCTAACCAACCCCTTCTCAAGGGGTGGCTAGTGGGTCTATGCAAAAAATGGGTGCCCCTAGGGTTTAAGAATGGAGGATTAGGATTAAACTAGAGGGATCCTATGGCTAGAGTGAAAAGGAGAGGGCGCCTATAAGTATGAAGGGTTGGGATTTAAGCTCCTAAGATTGAATGGTGGAGATTAGGAGTTAGGTGGCACCCTAGGGTTAGAATGCTAAAGAGATGGCATCCTGGAATGGAGGGTGGAGATTGCAAGGTGAAAATCTAAGGGTATGAGAGGTTACTAAGGCTTTGATGGTTGAGATTAGATGTTAGGGAGGAGTGGAAGGTGAAGATTTAGTAGTTAAGGGCGACTAGGGTTTGTTAGAGGTGAAAAGAATGAGTAGGGAGGCGCCCTAGGGTTTGCTAAGGAGAGGAGAGTATGCTAATACAGTAGGAGGGGCGCCTTTTTGGGTTTAGCAGATATAAAACACCCTCCTGTGCTCAGTTTTTCACATAAACACCCCCTCTCTCAGCTAGAATTCTCACCAGCTTCCCAAAATCTATAGAAAGCTCTGTAAACTTCCCTGTTTTTACCCAGAATTTGCATAGGGACCCTTAAGGTCACAACATTGAATTTAACCGGAAAAAGGGTACTGATTAGTCAGTTTAAGGTCTAAAATACCCCCAAAATGATGCCCTTAAGGCATCAAAATACAGAGTTACCAGTTTTACACCAGGAGGTGGACTCCACATAAGCGAGTAACGTTTATACAATCTTGCGCGAAGTAGGCGAGGTGATAACCGGCTCTTCCAATGTGGCGTCGTGATTCTAGGGAAGTCGAAGGCGATAGCCAGCTAAAGGGGCAGGTCACTAAACGAAGTCGGGTCAGATCGGTGGAAGCAGGTCGCCTCTTACGTTAACCTGAGGTCTTGCTTGGTTGTTCACAATTCGACCTACCAAAGTGGTTCTAAGGTCATAGAGCTGATTGTGAAGTGTTTGAAGTGCTTCTAGGGTCTATTTACATGATGTCAAGATGTCACTCTCCTGATCTACAATGCCATGTGTCGTGATATCATTAGAGGACCAAATTACCCCTCATCAATTGCCCCCACTCCCGAGCTCGGTGAGGGAGTAGTATTAATCCGAGGTGATTTGGTCCAAGTTCTAGCTCCGGAAGTGGTCCGACCAATGGCTCGAGATCGGGTTGGCTCAATCAGTCTAGCTTAGGCATGAGGTAGTGTTCCGAGCACACATAAACGCCATACAATCATTAGGTCACATGGACGTAAAAATGCATTAAACTAATTTTGCCTCAAAATACAAATTGTTGTGTCCTTGTAAACCGTTGGATCCAACCGATCTCAACCATCCATAGTTCAGTTCAACTATGTATAAATAGGACCCTCAGGGGCCCATTTCACTCGTCCCTAACCTTGGAGTTCTGGTGCACAGTGAGATCTTAAAGCTCGGAATTGTTGAAGTCATCGACGTGGTTAGCGAGGTTGGTCTATTCATTCTAAGTAAGTCATATCCCCTTGATTCCGTTCTTTGCTTTTATCATGTTGGGTTTTGAGTCTAAGGAAGAAAGGGGTTCGTCCTACCAGGCCGAGGAGGGGTCCTCAGCCCAAAGAATGACAAGTTTACAATAAGGGAGCCTCATCCTCCCATCATCAACCCAAGAGTAAATCTGATTTCGGTCCCACCAAACTTGAAGGAAGGTGGGATCCATCATTTGAATGGCTGAATTATGCTAGATGGTTGGGCAAAATTTCAAAAAATTTATTTCTCACTTCTAGGAATCGTATTCCATAGTTTCAAAAAAACTACATTTTTCTAGGATCATTCTTGCACCAAAACTGGATCAGATTTGAAACCAAAAGGAGGGAAATGTATACCTGATACGGAATTCATAGATTGCAACTGATTGCTTTCACCTAAGGGGTGGATCTACGAGAGTCTAGACTCTTAGTT